TCAACTTTTTCTTTTGTTTACTTTTTTCCCATTGGTTGCTTTGTGAATACTAAATTCGAGACCTGTCACTGCTTCCTTATGTCAAAAAAAGGATAGAAAACCAAAAATACAGGGGACATATGCCCAGTTGGCCACTGGCACACAAGGAATTTGGGCTGCAGCCTACCAGCTTCATTCTTTGGTGGTTCTTTCGGTCTTTCGGCAGAGTATGGCAGGAGTGAATTAACAGGCAGGAATTCTCCAGGGCTGGACTGTATTGATCCATTGAAATATTTCCTGGTGGACTTCTCTATATGGGACTGACAAGGATGACAGACCACATCTGCCTTCTAGATTTTGTGCACTACAACTCCCATAATTTTCTACCAGGTGATTCTTCTGGCTACATTGAGCTATCATGGTAGAACTAGCTAAGTTGGAAGAAACATGAAGGGGACTCCGTAGCAACCTCTACACTCTGACCAGACAGACTGCATTCTCTAGACTGGAAACTGCTCCCTCAACACCTAAAGCCATGGTTCTGACATCATTCTTCATACACCCTGTGTACATGTCATCATTCGTCAAGCATTCAGTACATGTCAACCATTCTTTTCTATCATAAGATTCTCGTGAATTTCTCTTCTAATATTTTTTTCTAAAAACTTAATTATACAAGTTTAGAGACATACGTAAACATATATTGCATGGAATTGACAGGAGCATATCACAAACATTACTAGAGTAATACTGTACATTGATTTATGATCACTCTGCCTCCCTGTCTACTGCAAACCAGGTGGATACATTTCCTTGGAATCCTTTGGCAGGCTACTTGGATCACTGGATTAACTCTAATGGGCGCGGGAGCACTGGGTACAGTTTTACTGTTATCTTGTATTTCAAATGGAGACAAGAAGATTAACAGACAGGTAAGATACAATCTAATATATCTACAACATAGGGATATACAGAAATCAAACAGAACAAACAAAAATTGTATAGCACTTAAAAAAAATATATAACAACATTTGTAATATATGGCTAGTAAACCACTCTCTCCAATGTGTTGGGCCTTCTTAATCAGAGAAGATAATTGTTTCTAATCAGCAATCAGGTCTCTGGATACACGTAGAAGAGTTACATTTGCATTAACACTTTTGATCATGTTTTGTTGCTACCTCTGTATCTTGTAGCATTAAACACAGACTTCCTACAGTCGCTGTAATACCATAGGGCGGGTACGGATAACATCGATATGACAGATCCTCTTGGAATTTATTTGCCATAAAGCTGGACTCAAGTTTAACTTTCTTTTAAACGTAATTTCTTATAGATATGCTGAATTATAAAACATTGGGGTGTACCATAATAAAATATAGGTGTAAAGCGCTATGGAATCTGATGGTGCTATAAAAATAATAAAATAATAATAATAAGCTAATAGCAAAACACTATACAAAAAGTGCAACAAACAAAATTAAACATTGTGCTTGCAAATATTGTAGGACATTTCAGTCCATAAACAGATGTGTTTTGAAGGTTGAAGTCAACGAACTTGAGTGATTTTTAACGTAGATCACTAGGTAGCTATGTAACATATGCCATAGTTTCAGCAGTGCTCTGCCTTAGCCGCCAGGCAGCTTGTCAATCTGGCTCTCACACACCTCCTAATGAAATGTCTTTTCTATGGCCGGACACATCACTGGTGATGTAAACTGTGTTACTGGCAATACCACCATGCTGGACCTGAACACACCCACCCAACACCTGTCGTAGAGTCATACTTGGCAGTGTTACCAATTTTCCACACTGTTAATTACTTGACAATTTTCGTTTTGTAAGATATAAAACACTTCATCAGGGTTATTCACTAAATTGAGAATTGTGGTGAATTCAAAGTGAAATTATAATTTATAATAAAATTAGCTAAACTAGACACATGGCTGACTTGAAGAATTTTTCCAGTTTAGCTATATTTCGCCTTTCATTTGAAATTCACTATGAATTTCCAGGAATTGTCACTTTATTGAATAACCCCACGTCTTGATTGAATAAGAGAGGTGTCAAGAGGAAATAAATGCATTTAATGTATAAAGACATCTTTCTAAATAAAAAAAGTCATATTGTCACATTGAATAATTCAATCTATGTACAAACCAGGACAGTAGGAACTTCACTCAATCAACGAGCTATGGCATGGTGCAAATGGACCGGGGCTAGCACCATCCCCAAGTGCTAATTCCGAAGAAAGAAGTAAGGTTCAGGTAGTTTAGAACGCAATGTGGAAGTTTATTGGAACAAAGTTACATAGAATTTTTAATTAGTGGGGTAATAGCTTCATGTTCCAAAGAGAAATTGGACTGCCATGCTGGGGTCAAGAAGGAAAGATTTCCTAGTCCAGGCATAGGCAACCTGCGGCACTCCAGATGTTTTGGACTACAGCTTCCATGATGCTTTGCCAGCACTAGGCGTGTCAGAGCATTATGGGGGATGTAGTACAAAACATCTGGAGTGCCGAATGTTGCCTATACCTGTCCTAGTCTATTGCAAAATTGGAAGTGCTTCAGATTTTTTGCCTTCTTTTGGATCAACAGCAAAAACAAATGTGAGAAACGCTGAACTAAATGAGCTATGTAATTATATAACAATCAGCAACATTTCGACCCACAAAGGGTCTTTACTTTTTGTGGGTCGAAAAGTTTTTGCCTGTATGTAACTTCATTCCAATAACCTTGCCACATTGAGCATTCCAATTCCTGGACCTTACTTCCTTTATTGAATAACGTAATAAATTGTAGTTTTAGTACAAGTTAATTAGAGAAAGTCGATTACAGTGGGACCTCGGTTTACAAACGCCTCGGTTAACAGAATTTTCGGTTTACAAATAAAAATCCATTGAAAATAATGCCTCGGTTTACAATTTATTTTCGCAATACGAAGCAAGTTTCCCCAGGATGCATTGCACTTGGGAGGTTTATAGCCCCCTGCATGCTGGAGCCTGTGGGTATCACATGGCGTCAAGTGTGGAGGTGTTGGAGCGGCTTTTGCATCAAGTTTTGGAGCCATTCTGGAAATTGTTTGCAGTTGTTTTGGGACTTTTTGGTGCATTTCTCAAGCTGTGGAAAGGTAGGGAACTGAGCTTTGTCGTTTGCATGCCTTTTATTGTGTGTTCTGTATTGTGTGTTGGTTTCCATGCCAGTTCATTTTGACTTTTTTCTGACCTCCAGAACGTATTAATTATTTTTCATTGCATTCCTATGGGAAACCATGTTTCTGTTTACAAATTTTTCGCAATAATAAACGCCCCGGAGAACGCATTAAATTCGCAAACCGAGGTCCCACTGTATTATTATATCTAATGCAAAACATATCAATTTGAAAAAGTTATTTTGATAAGAGGCTAATTTGGGCCACTTTTTGGTCTTACCACATTTTTATTATTACGTGGATTTAAGCTATTAAACAGATTTGAAACATTGGACGATCGCTAGCACTGTGCAAGACAGCTGCATGCACCCAGGTTCGATTAAAACCTAATCTGTACATTAGTTTACATGCTGTGTTTAAAACATGTATTGAGAATAAAGCCTAAAGTAATGTCACATGAAAAGTGTCAATGATACATTGACTTATTTGCATATGTTGCACAGAATTCTAGGAACGATGTGGAAATATAATCTATTAGAGCTCCTACAATTTGGACATTTAATTTTTTTTAGGATTTATCTTGTGTTATGTGGATCCTTCAAAGCAGTATATTTGAAATCTAGTTATTTTCCTTTGCTGCTTAGATAATGATTACAGCAGAAGAATGTAAACAATGCTCCATTCAATGATTTGTCTGTTCAAAGACAACAATACTTTGTTTATTGGTCAATTCTCGGACACTTGAACGATTGATTCGTAGCAGAAAGAATTGAGAATAAATACAACAATCTGTTTGTAATCTTTATTTTGTTATATATAATTTTACTGAAAAGTCATATACAAACAATACACAAAACTAAATAAACAATGAAGCATGTATAGTAAATATATTAATGCTGTATGGATATAGTCTTATTTAATTTCTTCCAGATGACCATGATGCCAGTCAGAGGGTTTACAATTAAATTGATGAGGGCCAGTAGAGATCAGTGGTTCTTAAACTTTGAAATGATGTATGTGACTTAAACTTGAGGATCCATTCTTCAATTGTAAAACATTTCCTATTGTTTAGTTGCAATATAATATAAAATATATTCTGCAAAATTCTAATGATTAGGCTTTTCCTAGTGATGAAGGGAACTCTACTGCACTGGGGAACTAGCAGTGGAGACCCCTTAGCTGTAGTAATCACTTTATTGTGGACAAATGCCAGGGGCTTTAACATGATAAGATGACCTTACTTCAAATGATGAGGACAAATGAAATAACATGGGGGCCCAACTTTAGGACCTGATCTAAAGGTTGAGAACCACTGGGATAAATTATTTTGCAATAATTACATACTCTAGTTTGTGCCTGGCAGTTTAGATCGAAGGCTGTCATAGTCAGCAATAAATATATTGACGTAATTTTTTCACAATTAGTTCTTGCTACTTGCAAACAGGGGGAGCCAAAGAGACCTTCTTTACTAACAAGACTGCCCTTCCTTATGTCTCATATTTGACAGATAGGGCAATTACTAAATCGGTTAATTCATGCAGCCAAAGGAAATACGGCAGAGGCATCAAACTACATTCATCAACAAAATGTAATGATTAACCCAACACGCAGAGTGAAACAGAGACAGAAAGAACGTCCCTAAGTCGGTCCTTAGAGTGGCCGTATAAAAGAAAAGTACAACAAATGTAAAAAACAAGCCAAGGTCAAGGGAAGTCAGAAATACAATATAATGAGGAACAAAGCTGAGTCAGGGAAACAGGACAATGTGTTTAGGGCAGACTAGACTTTTATATCATTGGGGGCATGTTTAACATAGCCACGCCCCCAAAAGATATGTGTGCGCTGAGCTCTGCTGTATAGAGCTCTCCTGACTTCATGACGCCAGCACTCAGCACCGCGTCATAAAAAGGGATGAGCGCATAGCGGCCAGCGGCCCTGATGCTGAGTGGAGCCTCTCTCAGCGTGGGAGCGGTGGTCCTCCCGACCTCGGCGTCGGCAGATCGGCGGACCGACAAGGTAAGTGAGAGAGGGCTTACACAAAACAGGTTCAATATTAGGAAATTCAAAATTGTTTATTCTAGGAAATGTTTCATGGCAGCATAATAACATCCAAGGGGAACAACAGAATGATAAAGCTAGAACCGGGTTGTACGTATGTAGAAGCATTTTGACTTGCGGTGTTGGTGAGCACAGTTTGATATAGCTGGACACTATTCAGATATGATTTATTGCTGTTGAAGCTCACACATGTTTTTTGATATGATGGACCATTAGAACAGCAAACACCAATGCTCATATAAGAATACATATCTCCCACGATGCTCAACTCCTAATCATTCACTCTTTCAGCTCCCAGTTTTGCATGGATGGAAGATGCTGAGAATTTCTACATCTAAGTCTTTCTTTCTCTGTTGGTTGCTCTTTGTGTCGTGAACAATTCTTAAGACATTTCTCTTGCGCACTACAGATGCTAAAGGAAATACCAAAATTCCAACAGATGCACGTCTGGAAGTTACCCTATCATGTTTAGAATAAAATACATTCTATCGGCAAAAATATGTACTGAGTTACTAACTAGATGGAAACAGAATGAATACCATCAAGTGAACATAGAGGAAATGACAGTTGTGGTCATGCCCTGTGCACTTCGAGTCAGGATGTCCATATTTTCCATTGTTCCGCTTCTCCAAACAGGATGTTTCTAAGTATTGTACCGGCAACACAATCATCCATTGTGTCACTTTCAGGAAAAAAAAAAATTAACAAAAGTAATTGCATGTGCTTTGAAAATAAATTCTTTCATTTACAGGTGTGGCTGACCCATCATATCCAAGAGAGGCTTGTTGGTCTACAGTCTAATTAAGCCACTCTTAGTGAAAATATATATTTTTAATATAGATATTTATATATATTTACAATACTTGTCACTGGCTATGCAAATATAATTAGAATATATTTCTATTTGAGTATAATAATGATTATTGAAATGACATTTATGGACAAACACCCCCCTTGCATGGTATAGTACAATATACATTGATTATTGTAAAGTAAAAATTCGATGTGTGCTATTTCAAACTGATGTAAACATATATTTTAAAAATAAAGCATTAATTTTTAGTTTGAATGTGGGAATGTATTGTTTTTTTAATGTTATGTGACTTGGTGCTGCTTTCAGGAGTACAAGCTGAGAATGTCTGTGTGAATGTATAATGTCTGGCAACATTCCTCTAACAGAAAGTCTTAAAATAAAAATGATTCTTGTATCCAATTATCTTAAATGGATGTTAAACAATAAAAAGTTATACAACAGCAGTATATAATTTGCATCCTAATGTCATGTTACATGCAGCTGCACCTTCCATATCTACATCGTTCTGGAATCAGGTTTGATGCCAACAATTGATGGACCATCACGTTCGCCCAACCTTTCAGCTCCAGATTACTTCCTGTGGATATCTGAAAGAGCGGGTGTGAACAAACCACGTACACTTGAACCTTCAAGGAGAATATCCGTGCAGAAATGTGAGTGCTAGTGCCTCAAACATCAACTAATGTCATGAACAATGCAATCAAAGAGCCTGACTTTGCAAAGTGGCAAATAGAGCGTACCTAGTCAAACAAATGTCCGTATGTTAAGCATTCATTGTATTTGATATCACTGAAATCGGTTATTGACTCCTCAAATCCTACTCTGAATTTTGGCCCACCCTGTAATATAAACATTAAGGCCTCGATTTTGGAACATTTTTAAAATGTTTTTTAATAGTTTGAAACATATCTGAAAATGTTTTTTTAAATATGTATTTTTTTTTTATATTTTACTATTATGAATAAAAAAAATAAACATTTTGAAAGTGTATCCCAAAAAATGTAATTGTTTGAAAAGCTAATCCAAAAATATAAAAAAAGAAGGCCTTAATAAGATGGGAGGTTTACTGAAACCAACAATTGGTCAAACACTGAGTGAATTCATTGGGCTGGTGTCAGGATTGTCTAAAACCCAACACGCAGAACCCAAGTAACCAGCAAAGTAATAGAACATCCTGAAGTTATTAACAGGCCTTAGAATGGCCGGATTTATTGAAGAATAAACAGGACAAGTCATGGGCAGGTGTTCAGAGAGATGGTAAACGGTGAAGTAAGTCAAGGTCGAGGACAATAGAAATCAGAATAGTTAAAAAACGAGCCAAAGGTCAAATACACAAAGGAATCAAATAGAAAACGCTCTCTTGGATAAACCACAAAGGGAAATCACGACAGGGCATAGAATAACTGACATCAAAGCCGCGATCAAAGCCGAAAGCAAGGGTGTCTGCTGGAGCACCCACTGGACCCCAACCAGTGGGTAAGTGGCGGAGGCAGACACGGACTGGCCATCGGGCACACCGGGCAAATGCCTGGTGGGTCGCGGTGGCCATGAGCCGAGAGCCAGCAGGGGAAGTCACAGGATCTCCCCTGCTGGTCCATGCAGGGCCCGCGCTATCCGAATGCTGGCCCTACTTTATTCCATGATTGGCCGGTGGGGAGATCACAGATCTCCCTCACTGGCCCACAGGTAGTGCAATGCGGCCACCGGCTGAGGAGGGTGGGAGACAGGACCCGGAGGAGCTCTATCTTGCAGCTCCGCCGGGTTCCTCTCGCGAGATTCAAAGTGGCAACACCCCTGATTTTGCGAGAGTGAACTCTAGCCCCACAGGCTAGGACCACCAGGCATGGCAGCACAGCCCCCCCTCCTAGGCGTAAGGTAAGAAGGGAGATACAATGCCTGTTTTTGTTTGTTTTTTATTGAAAAAAAAATACATATATAGTTTCATTAATCTGCCTCCCCAACACAGAATCCCTCCAAATATATACACACAGAGCACCCTCAAAACATAGCACTCTCACACACACACAGCAGCCTCACACATAGCACTCACACACACACACACAGCACTCTCACACACAGAGCACTCTCACACACACAGCACCCTCACACACACAGCACTCTCACACAAACAGCACCCTCGCACACAGCACCCTCACGCACACAGAACCCTCACGCACACCGCACCCTCAGACATAGCACTCTCACACACAGCACCATCACACACACAGCACCTCATACACACACACACACAACACTCTCACACACACACAGCATCCCTCACACACACCACCCTCACACACCCACTGCATCCCTCTCACACACACACTGCACCCCTCACACTCACAGCATCCCTCTCACCCTCACAGCATCCCTCTCACACACTGCACCCCTCTCACACACACACACACACACACACACGTCACCCCTTTCACACACACACACACACTGCACCCCTCAAGCAAACACATACTGCACCCCTCACATACACACACACACTGCACCCTTCACACACACTGCACCCTTCACACACACCCACTGCACCCTTCACACATATACACAGAAGTATATTTTTCAGGTCTTTTCCCGGACACTCCCAAAACACACTGCGCACCACACACACACACACAAACAATACTTCCAAAAAAAAAAATATATATATATATATACACACACACACACACAAACTACAGCACTCCATACACACATTAGATTCCTATATACACTCTGAATCCTCTATATACACACACACTCACTAGATCTCCTATACACATTATGGGTCTTTCAAACACATACTATACCCCTTACACACACATACACACACACTGCACCACTTACACACACTACATTCCTGTGCAAGTGTTGTGTGTGAGGGTGCTGTCTATGTGAAAGTGCTGTGTGTGAGTGTGCTGTGTGTGAGGGTTCTGTATGTGAGAGTGCTATGTGTGTGATAGTGCTATGTGTGTGAGGGTGCTGTGTGTGTGTGTGTGTGTGTGTGTGTGAGAATGCTACGTGTGAGGGTGCTCTGTGTGTATATATTTGGAGGGATTGTGTGTTGCAGAAGGCAGATTAATGATACTATATATGTATTTCGTTTTTCCTCAACACACACACACACACCACCCTCACTCTCACACACTGCACCCTCTCACACATACTGCACCCTCTCACACATACTGCATCCCTCTCACACACACACTGCACCCCTCTCACACACAGCATCCCTCACACTCACAGCACCCCTCTCACACACACACACTTCACCCCTTTCACACACACTGCGCCCCTCAAACTCACAGATACTGCACCCCTAACATACACACACACTGCACCCTTCCCACACACACTGCACCCTTCCCACACACCCACTGCACCTTTCTCATACACATACTGCACCGCTCACACAGAAGTATATTTTTCAGGTCTTTTCCTTGACACACTCCAACACACTGCACACAACACAAACATACACACAATACTTCCAAATATATATATACACATACACACACACACACTACAGCACTCCTCACACACACACACACTGCACCCCTAAACACATTACATTCCAGACACACACTAGATTCCTTATCCAACTCTGGGTGATCTACACACACACACACACACACACACTAGATCCACATACACACACTCTGAATCATCTATATACACACACTCACTAGATCTCCTATACACATTATGGGTCCTTCAAACATATACTACACCCCCTACACACACATACTGCACCACTTACACACACACTACATTCCTGACATACACACTCTGGATCCCCTATGCACACACTTGATTCCTTGTAAGCAAACACATACAACATTCCCTAAACACACACTCTGTACAACCCCTACAAACACTACATCACCTATAAACACACAAACACACTATAGCCCGTATGCACACAATTGCTATATCCCCTATACACACTATGCCCCCCTATATACACACTCTCTACAGCTTCTAACCATACATGCATTACATTACACCACAAACACAACACAACTGAAAATGACCTATTTACACAATACCACACCACAATCAGCTCACTCTACACACATGCAATCCCACAAGCTGGCTCCAAACACATGCACAATACTCTTTCCTGGCCCTTTTGTCTTCTGGTATCCAATTTATAGAGACACCACAAACAAGTTGCAAGCAAACACAGTACAGTCCTGGTTTGGCTAAATATTCTGTATGTCTTCCTTTATTTGTCTTGAGAAAATCCATGTATAGGACTGACATGTTGACAAAGAATTAAAGGGATACTATACTGCCAGGAATACTAGAGGCTGACTTAGTGCTGCAATGTAAACATTGCCGTTCTCTGGAACTGCAATGTTTAACATTGCAGCACTAGGTGCAAAATGGACACTGTACCCAGACCACTTCAATGTCCCTTTAACATGCAATGAAAGCTTCTTCACAAATCATTAACAAGTCAAGTGAGTGCCTCCTTATTGTTGTATATAAATTTTAGGTTGGATCGAGCACTATGCATGTACAGGGTTATTAATTAAAGTGTTAGTTGTTGCAAATTGAAAGTGAATATCAAATTTTAGGCCACTATAGCTAAATTGATAGCACAACTGACTTAGAGAATGTAAAATTCATTTTAAAGAGGAACTATCACTTTTTCTCTTTTAACACAACCTAATAGCTAAATAAAATTTTATTTTTAACTTCTTTATATTTTATTTTATTTAAAGTTAACTAATTTGTCAGGCAAGGCCTTAAAAAGTATGTAACTTAGTTGACTCTTGAAGTGTATATAGTATATCTGCATAAGTCGCCAGAGTTGACATGCCAAGGCCTCACAGAGCACTGTAGTTACTGCAACATGGGAGAGCAGAATTCAAGAAGTATGTTGTTTTTTTTTATTTTTTTCTTACTTACCTCTGTTGCATTATTCACCCCTTTAAATGCTGAAACATCATTTACTGGGGAAAAGGAACAAAAAACTGTCACTTCTTGGGAAATTAAAATTCTAAAATATCTAAAAAAAAAAAAAATTCATACTTTACAGAATAACTGTTATTTTTGGGATGTAGTGAAATCCTGAAATAGATGTCAATATTACCAATAATGTCTAAAATCTAAACAGTCGGTAGAGATTAGAGTTGTAAAATTCTGCTCACGGCAGCCATTTTGTGTAGCTTTGCACAGTGTATGCAGTAATCATTTATGGACACTAGATGGCAGACATATTCTATATAGACAAAAGGTTTATGCTCTTTTTGGAATTGAACCAAAATTATGTGCAAGGTATTAGTGCACTGACCAACTATTTATTTGTAAAATCAATCCTGTAGCTCATACTGCAAATGTCACACAATATGCACAAAAAAATAATAATCTATAGAATGCTATCATTGGACTGCTTCACTGCAGTAACGTCATTTATTGCAGGCAGTTTCCTGGTGCTTGATAAATATTGACTGATGAGTATTGCCAACGCAGAACCAGTAAAATAAGTCGTGCTACATTATATGTAAATATCTGTGCACAGACTGCTTGCTTCATGTTGTACTCCCTAAAATATGTTATTACATTCGTTTTAACACAAACTGCATTTGATTTTGGCTAAATTGCAACTTGTCTAAATTTATACTGATTGGCATGTCATGGCATATATAAGGTTGCTTCCCTATAGTCCAACATCCAGGAGTCCCGGAGATCTGTCTCTACCAAGCACAGCGCTATTAGACTCGTTCACCTTGTGCCTAATGAGGTTGGTACTAGGTTGGTACATGCACAGAGCACTTCAGTGGCATTCTGTGCCAAGTCTAGGTTACATAGAAACATAGAAACATAGAATGTGACGGCAGATAAGAACCATTCGGCCCATCTAGTCTGCCCAATTTTCTAAAAACTTTCATTAGTCCCTAGCCTTATCTTATAGTTAGGATAGCCTTATGCCTATCCCATGCATGCTTAAACTCCTTTACTGTGTTAACCTCTACCACTTCAGCTGGAGGCTATTCCATGCATCCACTACCCTCTCAGTAAAGTAATACTTCCTGATATTATTTTTAAACCTTTATCCCTCTAATTTAAGACTATGTCCTCTTGTTGTGGTAGTTTTTCTTCTTTTAAATATAGTCTCCTCCTTTACTGTGTTGATTCCCTTTATATATTTAAATGTTTCTATCATATCCCCCCCTGTCTCGTCTTTCCTACAAGCTATACATGTTAAGATCCTTTAACCTTTCCTGGTAAGTTTTATCCCGCAATCCATGAACCAGTTCAGTAGCCCTTCTCTGAACCCTCTCTAAGGTATCAATATCCTTCTGAAGATACGGTCTCCAGTACTGTGTACAATACTCAAGTGAGGTCTCACCAGTGTTCTGTACAATGGCATGAGCACTTCCCTCTTTCTACTGCTAATACCTCTCCCTATACAGCCAAGCATTCTGCTAGCATTTCCTGCTGCTCTATTACATTGTCTGCCTACCTTTAAGTCATCAGAAATAATCACCCTAAATCCCTTTCTTCATATGTTGAGGTTAGGACTCTATCAAATATTCCGTACTCTGCCCTTGGGTTTTTACATCCAAGATGCATTATCTTGCACTTATCCACATTAAATGTCAGTTGCCACAATTCTGACCATTTTTCTAGTTTACCTAAATCATTTGTCATTTGGCTTATCCCTCCTGGAACATCAACCCTGTTACATATCTTAGTATCATCAGCAAAAAGACATACCTTACCATCAAGACCTTCTGCAATATCACTAATAAAAAATATTAAAGAGAATGGGTCCAAGTACAGATCCCTGAGGTACCCCACTGGTGACAAGTCCAAGCTTCGAATATATTCCATTAACTACAACCCTCTGTTGCCTGTTACTCGGCCACTGCCTTACCCATTCAACAATATTTGAATCCAAACTTAAAGATTGCAGTTTATTGATAAGCCTTCTATGTGCAACAGTGTCAAAAGCCTTACTGAAATCTAGGTAAGCAATGTCTACTGCACCACCCTGATCTATAATTTTAGTTACCCAATCAAAAAAATCAATAAGATTAGTTTGGCATGATCTCCCTGAAGTAAACCCATGTTATCTCTGATCTTGAAATCCATGTGTTTTTAGATGTTCATCAATCCTATCCTTTAACATAGTTTCCATCACTTTCCCCACTACTGAAGTAAGGCTTACTGGCCTATAGTTGCCCGACTCCTCCCTATTACCTTTCTTGTAAATGGGCACAACATTCGCTAACTTCCAATCTTCTGGGACTACTCCTGTTAACAATGATTGGTTAAATAAATCTGTTAATGGTTTTGCTAGTACACCACTAAGCTCTTTTAATAGCTTTGGGTGTATTCCATCAGATCCCATTGACTTATTTGTCTTTACTTTTGACAGTTGAAATAGAACCTCTTCCTCTGTAAACTCACGTGTAATAAATGGCTCATTTATCCTTTTTCTCAACTGAGGTCCCTTTCCTTCATTTTCTTCTGTAAATACAGAACAAAAATATTCATTGAGGCAGTCAGCCTGACCTTTATCCTCTTCTACATACCTTCCTTCTTTTGTTTTAATCTAACTAATCCTTGTTTTACTTTTCTTTTCTCATTTATGTATCTAAAAAATGTTTTATCCCCATTTTTTACTGACTGTGCTATTTTCTCTTCTGTGTGTGATTTGGAAGCTCTTATAACTTGCTTAGCCTCTTTCTGCCTAATCTTATAGATCATTTTGTCTTCCTCGCTCTGTTTTTTTTTATAATTACTAAATGCTAACTTTTTGTTTTAACTATTTTGGCCACATCTGCGGAGTACCACAGTGGTTTCTTGAATTTTTTGCTTTTACTGACAAGCCTAATGCAATTTTCTGTCACCTTCAATAGTGCAACTTTTAAATAATCCCATTTTTCTTGGACTCCATTTAAATTGCTCCAGTCTGATAATGACTCCTCTACCCATATTCTAATTTTAGAAAAGTCTGTTTTTCTAAAGTCTAAAACTTTTGTTTTTGTGTGGTGCGACTCAGTCACTGTTCTTATATTAAACCACACTGACTGATGATCACTGGATCCTAAACTTTCACCTACAGTAATATCTGATACCAAATCTCCGTTTGTTAACACTAAATCTAGTATGGCCTCTTTACGAGTTGGCTCCTCAACAACTTGTTTTAGAGACAATCCCAGTAGGGAGTTTAGAATATGTGTGCTCCTGGCACAAGTAGCTAATTTTGTTTTCCAATTTACATCAGGAAGATTAAAGTCATCCATGATGATAACTTCCCCCTTCATTGTCATTTTAGCTATTTCCTCAACTGGTAGATTATCTAACTCTTCAATTTGTCCTGGGGGCCTATAAATCACACCTACACGAGTTACTGTGTGATTACCAAATTCTAGCGTAGCCCAAACGGACTCTATGTTTGCCTCACTAACTTTTATTAGGCTAGATTTTATGCTATCCTTCACATACAAGGCCACCCCTCCCCCTTTCTTGCCTTCCCTATCTTTCCTATATAAAGAGTACCCTGGTATTGCTATGTCCCAGTCATTTTCTCATTGTACCATGTCTCAGTAACAGCGACTAAATCTACACTATCAGTTGCCATTATTGCCACAAGTTCATGGATCTTATTCCCTAAACTGCGAGCATTTGTAGACATGACTCTAAGCTTATCATTTTAACACACTTGCTACAGTCACCTTCTGTCCTTGTTTTGGGGGACAATTGGATTGATGTTTTATCACCCTTTTGCCCCCCCCCCCTCCTAGTTTAAATACATCCTAGCAAAACCTCTGAACTGCTCGCTGAGAACATTT